TGTGGGCTACTCTGGAGAATAGCGGAACCCAGCAGAAGAGTGGAGTGCTGTGGGAGGTGGGATGGTCAGTGTCAGACTTGGTTAAACAAAAAACAGTTTGCAGAGAGGCTTAGGCTGATGCTGACGGTGCTATTCCCGCCCCCCCCCCATGAAGTTAGGGGTCAGATGCTCCCGCCACGCCATTTCCACAAACTGGTAGAGGTTGAGCTCGTGAGGATTTGGGTTTTCAGGGTTGGGTTGGTGTCATTACTCTTGGCTGGGTGGAAGTCATGGACTATGGAGGGTTGGTGTGGCACTGACATCATCTCCTGTCAACTTGAGCGAAGGGGTGGAGTCTAGCCTGTCAATCAGGTCAGAGCCAATGAGGCCTCCCTGTGGGCAGGGCCTTTTCCAGAGGATTCTGTGAAATCCTGTCTTCCTCCCCAGAGGTGGGACACACTCTCTGCTTGCGTTCCTGTTGACAAGCCACATGGAGACACACTGATGGAGCCAGAGCCCTGGAGCTGGAGGAGACACGGGGAGACTGGTGCCAGCGTTGAGATGCTTCCACTGCCACTGGATCCACAAGATCGTCTACCCACTGCTGGCCTGAGATCTTCCTGCATTCAGCATCATTGCATGTGCTGCATGAGTCTGAAGAGGAATTTATGGACCAGTATGGACATGTGGGCTAATATTGGACTTATGGACTTGATCTGGACAGGGCTGGGATGTTTCTTCAATATACAATTGCTCTTTTACCTAAAGCTCTTTCTTAAACAAATGAATGTCTATGAATTTGTTTCTCTAGTCAACCTGAACTAACACAGTTGGGGTCCTGGAATTTGGGAATCATAGCATCAGTGGGTTCCACGTTTGGGACTGAGGAGTGGTTAGGGGGTGGTGATGTTGGTGTGCATTAGTGCTGGGGGGCTGGGAGGTCTAGGGGGTGGGCAGGTGTGTGGTTGGGGAGTGTGGTGTCAGAGGAAACCAGCCTACAACAACCAAAGGGCCAGTAGGCGCAAATGTACGGCGATAATACAGAAAGATTAAAGTCCTAGAGGATCAGATAGGAGAGAGAGAGTAGAATAAAGGAGTCAGACACATTTTATGGTAGCATGCTCACCTCAGCTCCTCTTGATGGACCATGCAGAACTGGGAGAAGTGAGAGAAAAGAGAGTCTTTACTATCTTGGGACACTTATAGTTAGCCTTAAGACATACGTATTCAGTAGTTACATGTGTCACAGGTGGGTGGTATCTACAGTAAGGTCCCTGAGCGCATAGGTGAAGAAACCTAGTTCCTGCATTGGGGGGAGGCATGAGGGGGCTGAGTGACATGGGCGGGAAGAGATAGCAGCAGGATGTCTGCTTCTGTAGGGCAATAGAATCAACCATGTGCTCACTTTAAGACAGCATAGCTGTTAGGCGGAGTAGTATTAATTTATGGGGGGAGGGGGGAGGGAGCCAGCCCCCCACCGCTAGCACTACCCAAGGGTTCAGTAATGCACAATTGTACGGTTGAGATATATGAGTATTATATTAAAGTCATCGAGAGCGTGAGAGATATAGGAGAGATATTACAATAATGCTTCTCTACTTCTGTTCTCTGAGCTGCTCTTCTTAACCTGTGTATCTCTAAGTTGCACTTCCCTAACTACTACTTCTGTGTCAGCCCCCCTCGTTTGCATTTCTTTGGAGCTTCTCCCTCTACCTCCAGAGCTGGCTGGCTTGCTTTAGTTTTTCTTACACTAAATTCTAGCCGGGGAGCAGATGCTTTTACTCTGCCCCCTTCTGACTCAGGCTTAGTTTTTTCAGCTTTGCCTAAAATCGTCTCACCTGCCTGAAAGCCATTCTGCCTGCTTCTCACCTGATTTAAGTTCCCATAGCTTAGATGCCTCTCACTACTTTGCTGGTCTTGTTTCTCTGCTTTCCCTACCTTTGAAAGCAAGGGAGCTTCCTGGGATTGCTTAGTAGTCTTGCTGTGGGTGTTGGAATCAGCTGCCTCTGGTGCTTTATCACCTTTAAACCTTCGGAGGCTGCAGTCCCCAGGGCACATAGGCTTTGGCCTTGAGGTTTCTTTTAGAATCAGAGGCTTCGCATAACAAATCAATCCCTGCTTCAGTTTTTCCTAAAGTTCCATCACCTAATTCATACTCAAAGAGACGTTAGCTTGCTTTTCTAGATTAGGATCGCTCACACAAGCCTTCTCACCACACTGATAATCCTCATTCTCTTCCTCCTGCAAAGGTACTAAAACCGTCTTAACTTGAACCCATAGAGACCTGTCTCCACAGGGATACTCTGTCCTTCCCAGTGAGCTTTTCTTAAGTTAATGGCTACCTTATCCCAGATCTCCATACCAAAGGTTCCTTCCTCTGGGAACCATGGAGTATACCTTTTTACTACTTTTAGAAAACACTGCATCTTTTTCTTCATTATTTTTACACCCTGACTTTTCAGTAAGTAGATGAGTAAGTAGATGAGCCTACTACCATAAGTTCCAGGTTTACTTTTACCTTGCCCCATTGTTCTCTTTAAAATACTTATTCACTATTTCGACTACTTATCTGCCAATCCCCACACCGGATCCTCACTTCACACAATTTCCCGATTCACTCTCCATTCCAGTGGGGCCGTACAATTGTTACACGGGAAATAATTCATTGCCACGCGATGGGCGCCATATGTAGTATAAAGTTTGGGGTGGAGGGCCAGCCCCCTCCGCTAGTACTACCCATGGGTTCAGTAATGCACAATTATACGGTTGAGATATATAAGTATTTTATATTAAAGTCATCCAGAGCATGAGAGATACAATAATGCAGTCAGACACATTACGATAGCATTGCTCACCTCAGCCCCCCTTGGTGGTCCACGTGGAGAGAGGGGGAAGGGAAGGAGGACGGAAAAGGGAACAAGGGAGAGGGGACAGGAGAGGAGAGTGGGAAGAGAGGGCAGCGACCAGCGAGAGAGGAGAGAGATCTCTATTGCTGACCCAGGCCTATATACCTTGGGGGAAGTGTAAGCCCACTAATTACAGGTAATGACATACATCACAGGAAGGGGTTGCACTATAGGTTATACAGCAACGAGGGGGTGGTCTAGGGACATACACCGCAATAGGAAGAAGAGGGATTAGGGGTATACATGTGACAAGATGGGTGGTTCCTATATTTAGGATGGCAGCTTAACTTTGACCTGTTTCCTGGGTCTCCATAGGAACCATTATCAGTAGGGTGTAAACTCCTCCTACAGGAGCCTGTCCATTGTCCCCAGCAGCAGGGAGCAGTCTGACCTCCCCCCACAGGCGGAGGATCTGTGGAATGATATTTAGAGCAGGATCATGTACTTGGACTTTCTCTCTAACCAAAGTGGAGGCTTCCCGACCTGTGGAGTACAGCTTTCCAGATTCCCTCTGCGATCAGTTAGGGACTAGAGTCCTGGGCTTAGTCCCCTCTGCGCTCCTTTCCCACGGTGTGGTGCTTGAAGTCTTTATGGGTCACCTAAAGATGGAAGTGTGATGCAGATAAGAAGCCCACATGGTGCAACAATTCAGCACTCCCTGGCTAACTGAAAAGTTGGTTTAAACTTCTGAGAGATTGGTGGTTCAAGCCCAACCCCAAGGACCCATGGGAGAAAGCCAAGGTCATCTGAGTCCATAGGGATTCCAGCCCGCAGAGTCACGTGGGAAGTTCTACTCGGCCACACGAGGTCACGATGGCTCCCCAAATGAACTTGACAGCAGCTAACACCCAACAGGGTGGGCTGGATTGTTTTACACTGGTTGTATGGTTCTAGCCGAAGTGGAGTCGTACGGTGGACAGGGGGTGTACCATTCTGGAGGTGGTCATGGGTGGAATCATTAGAACTTTGGCTTGTCTTGAAGGTATACAAGCGGCCATCTAGCTCAGAAGCAGCAAAGCCCACATGGAAGAAGCACACCAGCCTGTGCGATCACCAGGTGTCGAAGGGATCAGGTATCAGGCATCATCAGAACAAAAAATCTTATC